GAAAAAATGTATTTTAGCTGCAGGGGTTTGGGCAGAGCCTCACCAGCTGCGCACAGGCAGGGTCCAGCTCCTGAAGCTGATGGACATGGTGTATGGTGTCTATACATGTCCCCCTGCCTTTCAAAGCCAGTGAGATAGAGAAGAGGGAGCTGGCACCTCCGGGATATGACTGTGGTGGATGGAGAGGGAAGGAGGGAAGAGCTTTAGCTGGAAAAAAGTCATCGTGCCGCTAAAAGAAGTCATTAAACTGGTCTTTCTCATCAGTGCCATCCCTACTCAAGCCCATTTCAGCTACACATAAATCAGTCATGGTATCACTGCCCATGGCAGGGGGGTGGAACTGGATGATCTTTAAGGTCCCTTCCAAGCCAAACCATTCTGTGATTCTATCATTCGATGAACCTGAAGTGCAGTGACCTTCTCAAAGTGGTGGCCAGTGGTGCTGGCAGCCCCATGTCCTCCCCCGGAGCTGTGGGTTAAACCACCCAGCTGGCATTTTCCAGCATGCTCATGCTTTTTTAAGATCCTCAAACCAATTTTTGGAAACAATTCAGGTCCCATAGAACTCAACACCACTGTCTTATAGCAAGAGGGAGGCTGCATCCATCTTCCCATGGTCCCCTAAGGACCATGGCCACCCCCAAGGACCATGGCTACCCCCAAGGACCAGGGGCACGCTACATCTCTCGAGGTGCCTGAGCTGGCCCTGAGATCTCCACACAACATGATGGAGAGATTCAAAGGCTCCCAACAAGCCCCCTCAGCTTGAAAACACTGGCATGGTGGTCTCCACCCACCCAACATGGCCCCGTTCACCCTCGTCTTCAAGTGCCAGCCTTTTACTTTTTGTAAACTCCAGCAGGGAGGTTTCTTCAGCCGCCCCCTTCTCCATCTTCCTGAGCATGCCAGCCTCTGCATTTGGGTCCTGGGGAGGGAGAGAAGAGCAGCCTGCGGTGAGAGGGGAGCACCCACCGTCCCGGCTCCTGGCGATGCTTGGGAGGAGCAGGGTCTGTCCCAGCGTCTGTCTTTGACCCAGCCAAGCCTGACGGTTTTCCTGCCCATTACAGCAAATGGGTGGATGACCTCCAAAATCCCTGCAGCCCTCAAGTGGAGCTGCAAGACAAAAGCTTGTCCTGCTCAGAGAGGTTTAAAGAGCTTGGAAAGCTTTCCTCTCCTGACCCCTGACAAGATACCTCTTTTTAAATTCTGCAAAAAGCCTAAATATGAAAGCTGGAGACAGGTCAGCTCAAGTCTCTCCAGCTATAATCACGAAATATTTTGGGTTTGATTTTGACCCTTAAAAAAAAATAATGATTAAACACTTTCAAAACAAAACAATACAATTTTTGAAACTAAACAAGCAGGGCTTGGCTTTGAAAACACCAAAATGAAACATTTTAATAATTCTGCGTCTTTTAAAATCTCTTTTAATGGGGAACTTGTATCTTTTCTGCACTTTTTTTCCCAAAGGAAAAGGCCATTTATCAAACCCTTTATCCCAGTGCTGCTCCTGTGCATGCCACACTTGAGGATGCTCTGCTCCAAGCAGAGGCTGTCACTGATGATGATGATGATGGTGTCAGGGGAGCATGACCTTGCAGAGGGTGCTGCAGTGGGGCGTTAAGATAAGGCCATCACCAGCAGAACCGGGTCAGACACCCCAGGAGCATCAAATCCCCATGGACAGACCCCTGACCACGGAGGACCCCAAGAAGCCACCCAGCCTTTGTCGTGCTCTAGGGAACATGCAGGTCTACCCAAAACCCTCCCAACAGATGCTGTTGATGGGAAGGGCACCAGGTCTGGTTTTGGTCTGCTGAGCTGTGGGGGTTCTGGCGTTCCAGCTAGTGGTGAGGAAGGGAAGGGTCTGGTCCTTCACGTGTTAGAGGCACAGAGCTTGTATGGAAGACTTTCCACTTGTGAGAAGTTCTAACCACATCTGAGGAGGACTGCTGGGATCCCTTCTTCGCTCCCACCCCTCTCCTCTGGGCACAGGTCTTCCCTCCCCAAGCGCAGCCCTGGTATGCTCTGGTTCTCCAGAGATAAGGTCTCACCTCTCCTTTCAGCATGTACCGAGGGAAAAAGAAATAAGGAATGGATGTGAGCACCAAGCAGCCCGAGGAGATCAGCAGGCCCAGCCACCAGGCTCCAATCCACCGCTGGTCCCTCGGTGTCAGGGCCACTGTAGCTGTAAGACACAAGGCTCCATCGTCAGACCTCTGGTCCTGCTCGTCTAAGGGTGAAAGGGGCAAATGGCTGTGCAAATACAGACTGGTGGAGCACCTGGTCCATGTGGGCACAGGCCAAGGGTCTCTCCACTGGTGTGGAAGAGAAAATGGATGGAGGTGGGAGCTCCATCTCTTGGTAGCAAGACCAGCCCTGGTCATGTTTGACCTCCTTTCCCCTGGCCAGGATCCTGCACCGCCGCTCCCCATCCAAACTGTGCTGAGCCTCCCAAATGACTGTAGGATGGATTTAGTCAGCATCCAAGTATGCTGATGGCACAAGTTCAACTCTTCCCCTCCGAGCCCGCCAGCAAGGCGGTGATTATGGGGGCCTGACTCCATCCTCCTCTGCCTGGGGCGTGCGGTGGGTTTGGGCCATCCTGCCTGCCAGGGATGCTGAGCCAAGACAGGGACCGGGAAAAGGCACAGCTGCTTTCCTGGAAAAAAATTGCTCTCCCATTGTTCCAGGCTTGGTCACTCTCTGGTTGCAGAAACGAAGGGAAGGACCCGGGCCGGCAGAAGAACGCTGTTAATGAGCCTGGTTTCCGAGTGGATGAAACTCTGGGCGCCTTCTCCGGAAAAAGGAGGAGAAGGTGAGAGCCGCTCCGTCTCCAGCACACACATCCTTCATCTGGGCCAAGCGATGCTCACGGGAGGTTGACAGATTGCTTGGCTTGGCATGGGAACTTGCATTGCCCCATCTCCCAGACATTGCAGCTGGAAAAGGAACCAGCAGCAGGCTCCGGGTGGGAGCCCTGTGCCAGGGTGCGGCAGGAGAGAAGCCCACACCCCACCGAAACAATTGCCCTGCTTCCCCAGAAGGACCACTCCACTCCAGAGCTTGGACGTCATCATGGAGCGACCGGGCAGAGGCTGCTAAATCCGTCTGCCGCCACAGGGAGAGAGCCAAGGCTTTTTGCTGTTTCCTGCCCCAGGTTCATTTATTATTCTTATCAGGCACCGGATAAAAATGTCAGGCGAGCTCTGATCTCTCTAAGGAAACACAGGAAGAGACACATTGATGATGGAGCTGGGGAGAATTCTTTAGTGATTAAGTTACCAGAAATAATAAGCAGGCACCACAGATAAAGAAAATAAGACCTGCAGTGGCGTTGGTTTGGTCCCTTTCTCTGCAGATGCTGGTAAAGGGTCATGGGGAGGAGGAAGAGTAGACTTGAGCCTTCCCATGCACCTACAGGGCAATGGTCACCCCGTGGTTGTCTTCTCCATCCCTGAATGCTTCAGATATCCCTGCTCCTCTCCACCTCCATGCTGGGGTAGTGTGATACCTCCTCAGCGTGGTGACAGTTGGCAGACCCCAACGATGACCACCAGTGCTGGAGGGCAGCGCCATGAGTAAGACACTGAAATGTCCCTACCGCAGGGCTCTGCTTCAGTGGTGGCTTCAGGACCATTTGTAGCCTGCCTCGCAGGGAGATGGAGTGGAGAAGTGTGTTGGGGGTGCTAGTCCAGGCCAGGTCTTCCCAGGGGAGTGGGTTTTGTGGGTCATGGGACTGCTGGCTTGTGCCACCAGTCATCTCAGAGTGACCTTCTGACTCACAGAAGGCTTTGAGGAGGACCATTGCTACTTGAGAAATACTCACCAATGTCAACTCTTCCAATATCCACAAAGAGCCGCAGCACCATGGATCCCAGCAAGTATCCAAAAGCAGGGCCGAACACAGCAATGGCAAAGAGGATGGCTGAAAAAAGGGAGCGGAGAGAGAGCCAGTGTGAGCAGGGAACAGCGGCTTCCATGCAGATACAGCTTTTGTCTTCCCACGTGAGGCAGGAATGGTGTTACGACATGCAGAGGAGAGAAACCATCTTTTATCAAGCAGCAGATGACGAGAAGATCCCCATTGCTCAGACATGGAATGTGGTGTTTATCTAACAGGATTAGGAGGAGGGCAGGCAGCTGCCTGCAGAAAAAAGTCTCCCGGCTCTGCTGCAATGAAGGCTTGGCTGATGCGTTAAAAGTTGCCAGCTACACCGTGAATATCCATGATTCACTGTGACAAAGGGAGCATCCTGGGTTCCTGCAGGTGATGGAGTCCTTAATCTCCTACAGAAGACCAAGGAAACAAAGCCATCTCAGTCCTTAGAGGCAAGCAAAAACATTTGCTACAAACTTCAGGGGAGGTGAAAATGCTGAGCACAAAAAGGGCAGCAGATCACCCTTAGTTTAGCTGAACTATTGCGTTCGAAAAATAGATAACTCGGACCTAACCCGTAAGGTCAAAATGTTTCCTTTTGACTTCTTTGGAATGAAAGGATTCAGGTTTCCTCCCTGAAAGAAACTCTTTGCACAGCCTTCTTAAGATGTTCAAAAGAAGACAGTTTGCTTGAACTGCATTGACCATTTCTGTGCACTTTGCTGGTCTGGAGCCTTTGACCATGCTGGGTATGAAAGCGCCTGAGTCCACTGCTGTGCCTCAGCTGTGCACCTATTTTAAATGGTGTTTGGGTTTTTTTTTGCCAATTCAGCAAGGCGGCGCTTTTGTTTCTACAACATAAACCCAAGTATTGAAGGGCAGGGTCTTTAGAGTATTTAACCTCAGACATCGACAGTCATGTTCCCTTTCATAGGAAGATGCTGAGACCTAAAACAAACCCAGACTCAAAGGACAATGGTATTTACGTTGCACTGAGGCAATCCAGACTCACAGTAGCCATACCCCCTGGCATGGACATTCCCGTGGCCCTGAAGTGACCACCTATATTATAAAGAACAAGCCAGTCCTGTTTTCCTTCATCTTCAGGTTCCACAGGTTTGGGAATCCAAAGGGTACCCAGAGGTCCTGGGAACAGTGACCCCACGCCCCAGGGGGAAGACAAGGATGCTCTGTCCCTCCTTTTGCCAGCCCAGACTACTCTGAGCTGAGAGGAGCCAGTACAAGCCACACGGGAGACTTTCTGCAGAGCCCTTAGGTGGTGCAGCAGCCCAGAAGCCTGGAGCAAAGCATGCCTGGGTGGGTCTGGAGACCCTGCCAAGCACTCCAGGGCTTGTCCAAAGCTCATTCTTGTGAGTCTAATCCCAAAGGCCTTCCCTTCTACTTTAGTGCTTACCTTATTTTGGAACATCTGCTGTCGACTCCTAAATCACTCTGCCACCTTTGGCTGCTTTAAAGACATTGTTCAGCACCAGGAGGAATCGGGTGTTTGAATAACTGAGGAACTGAGCTCAAAGCAGGCCAGCATCAGATGGGTTTGGCCATTCATAGGGGAAAAACATGCAGTTTAAGATGGAAGCCAGCACCTATCTCTTTGCAATCAAGAAGTCCACCTGAGCCTGGGAGCCGCCACGAGGCAGGGACTGATTCCACGGCAAAAATGTCAGTTTTGAACCCTTGATGCAAAACCTGTCTTCATTGGCTTCTGCAGACTGTCATACCTCTGGCTAAATCACGATCAGCCGATGGTCAATAAGAGCAGGAGATGGCCTCTGCGAAGGATTCCTTCCTACTCTTTGACCCCATGGATGGCTTAAGTTCTTGTGGACACAAGGGAGAACCCCGGCTCATCCATCTCATCTCTTTGCCCTGATTCTTTGGTTTCCTAACACCTACAACCGTAAATATAACCCTGCAGAGAACAGCTAACTAGCAAGGGGAGAGACAGCTCAGCCTTTTAATGGGGGGAGGATCTCATCTGAGTCCCACTGGCTGCTCAACCCATGTCCACAGGTTCCTCTCCAGATGAGCACCTTCACATCTCACCTCTACATCTCACTTCTAAGGTCTGGAGGAAATAAGATTATACACAGCAGCGGGCCCACTTACCAACATACAGTGGGGAATTGTTTGCTTCTGCAAAGTCGTCTACGTAGGATATCCCAAAGGGCTGGATGGGAACCGTCCCGATTCCGGCCAGCAGCTGGGCGATGACCATCATTGCCCATATGCTGCTGGCCTCCTTCTGGGGATCCTGGGTGGCATTGGGGCACACAAACTTATTCTCTGCGTAGCAGAGTTCAACCTGGACCTGGCTTTTGTTACCTGAAAAGGAAAAGAATGAGCATTACAATCCTGGGCACATCCTCTCCCTCCTCCCACACTAAATCCCTAAATACCAGGAATCTTCCAGATTTGCTGAGGAGGCACAAGCTGTTGGATTTCGGATGGATTGCTCATTTTATTTAGCAGTTCTCATCACCTTTCCCTTCCTTTGGGGTTTTATACTGAGGTCAGTGTAGCAAACAAGCAGGCCGTGATTTCTATCAAACTTTTAAAGACAGGTTGATGAAGATGGAAGCAAATCAGTTTCTCCAGGGAAGGGTCAGCCCCACAGCCCAGCAGGAACAGGGAGCGATGCTCCCTGGGGTGGCCTGAGCAGGACACCCTGCCCACCTCCTGCCAAAGCAAGGACCTTACTTCTTCATACCATCCGGACATGGGGAGGTCTTCACCCTGCTCAAAATTGCCATGCAAACTCCAACCAGGACTGGAATATCTTCCTGGGCTGTAAATGCTGGGCCAAGACACGCATGGCTCTGGGCAGGGAAGCAGGATGATTCCTGCTCCTTTGACTTGTTCCCATAACAGTAAGAGCAGCCCCTGTCCTGAATCCTGACCGGTTCATAGCCCGACGTATGAATTTAAGCTGTCAGAAAACTTGGCATCTGATGCCTGATCCCCTCTCCAAACTGGCCAACTTGAAAAACATGGAGACATTCGAGGCTGGGCAGCAGGGAGGCTAGCAGAGAGCTGGTCTTCATATTTCTGTGTGAGCACTGGCGCACTCTCCGCCCCACACCAGGCCGTCGTTTTTAACAACCTTTCATGGGATCTGGACTTGCTGATCAGCCGTGGCGGTGCCAGATTTCCCAGCGCTGATATGGGACAGCAAAAGCCAGAGGGTCTCTAACCCTTTGGTGGGCACAGAGGTTGCCAAGCACCTGTGAGCAGCTCTGTCCTCGCTGTGCTTTGCTCCCTGTCGGGGGTTTGCATCCCGTTGTGCTGTGGCAAAGCCTGGACCTAACTAATGGGAGGAATTTGCACCCAGCAGCTCCCCGGCACAGCCAAGGCTCCCTGAACCCAGAGGATGGGGCACCATTCCCAGAGAAAGCATCTTCTAACCAGGGGTGGAAGGCTGTCCCTGGGCTGGCACTGCTGTGACCTGGCATGGAGCCACGGTGGGTTTGCGTTCTCAGAGGTGTCAGTCCCCAAAGAGGTTCAGGCTCATCGGCATCCTGAGGATTTAAGGGCTCAAGTCACTTTGGGAAGACTAAAACCAGCTTTGTGGCATGCGACACAGGCTCTTCTGCTCATTGTGTTCTGCACAGAAACTGGAGCTGCCAGCAGACACACTAGCTTGTTCCCAAAGCCTGCCCAGTTAAACCAGTGGTATGGATCATAAGGCTCAGACAGATAGGGGTGAGCACAGCCAGGAGGGAAGAATATACTAAGCTAGTTAAACAATTGGTTTGTTTTACTGTATCCATGTGGAAGGATATGCTCTCTCACTGACCATGGAACTTCCTTACAAATACTCCCAGGGAACACGTCGATGCGGGATCATGGGGATCTCAGGGATCTCAGCTCTACAACCAGCTCCTCGGGCTCTGATGGACAGGAGAGATGCCTCAGCAGCCTGGAGAGGAGATCCTGGCTGCTGGACTGGGAACACAGCCTGCTCCTCTGGAGCATCCCTGGGGAATTCAGGTACTTCACTGTGACCACAGCACTCAGCACCTGGAGCTGCGGCCTGAACAGCACGCACAGAGGAGGTGGAAGGGATGCCATGTGTAATTATTGCATTCAGAAGGGGTTGCAAGACTAGTACCGAAGGCTTAAAACAGCAAATTTCTGCCTTAAGTCTTTCCCTCCAAAGAATGCATTTAAATTGTCTGTGCCCCTTTTTTTGGGTAGCCACAGGTAACCCAGCTCAGAGCAACTGGAGATGGCCTTGTCCTGGGATGAGGGTGGAGGCACTTACCAGCGCTCAGCGTGGTGTATTCGTAGGGGTCTGATAGGAAGTGGGGCAGGGTCACCAGGAACGCTCCCAGCGCCAGCAGCAGCCCCCCCACGCCGATCACCCGCGGGCGGTGAACTCGGCTGCCGAAGTAACTGACGAAGATGATGAGGACCACATTGCCGATCTGGAAAGGGCACAGGCAAATGGGGAGAATGTTCGAAGACATCATGGAGGATGTCAAGACCCTATAACTGGTCCCCATGACTGTGTCTGGGTGGGTGGTGTTTGACCCCCACAAGAGTAGGAACGGGACAGCTCTTCACCCCACTTATTCACAGCAAGCCAATGCTCCTTCCCATCCAAAGGTGGCTTCTGTCACCTGTGTCCATCCCTTGTTGTCACAGAGAACTTCACAACCTCCCTGGGATCTGGCTGGGGCTTTTGCAGCACCTACACCTGCCCCCCACGCCATGGGATGTGGCATAAACTAATAGTTCCCCCAAACACAGCAAGAAATGAAGCGTAGTGCTTCCATTCCCGTGACTCTAAGCCCAGCTACAAAGTCCAGCTCATTGCAAATGTTTGTGACTCTGGACATTTACAACTGCAGACATGATCAGCTAAAATGATATGAAAACATGCACCTTACTCAGGGAAGTGGCTGAACACCATAAAATTACCATTACATGGGTTTTGTCAGCTTGGGACAAACTAAACATTATTTTAACCTCAGCATGTATGGCTAAGAACACTTCTTATGTATGTTTTCATGGGCTCCCTTGTTTGTCTCTCTTTTTGTTCTTGGAATTGCTGCAGCCGTCCATGAAAAGACTGTGGTCCTGGACAGGCAGGGGAGCTCACACAGAGCTGCAGTAAAGCACAGAAATCTCTCTCATAAAGCAGAGAAAGAAAGATGTATCTGTTGTCTGCAAGCTGTTGTTTTTTAACAGCATGGCATACGCCCTATTCCAATTCTTTTTCCTTTATATTCTTGCAGTAACAGACTGCTCTAAAGGATGTTTGCTTTGGTATCACTTCTCCAGGCATTAAGTCTCATAAGTTCTCCAGTGGATAAGGAACACATGGGTTACAGCTTTGAGACACTCTGCAGGGCTTCATTATGCCAGTTCAGGATTACCAATGTTACAACCGTCCATACTGGGTCTCTTTGCATGGCTTGGACTTAGTCACAAGCAGCAGGAAGCCCTCTGTTGGTCTCAATAGGCTTTGGAGGAGTCTTTCGAACCTCGGACGTAGGTGCTGCTTGGGCTAAGACCCAGACATCTCTTTCCTCAAGGACCCGGGAGGATTCCCAGTGCCCAGCCTCTTGCTGGAGGATCCCATGTGCGACCATGCAAGGTGGGCTGCCACCAAGCACTCTGTGCCATCAAAGGAAAGCCCCTGACAGCAGGTCTTCTCCTAGTTAGCCTTGAAGAGCTAGCAGAAAGGAGACAGTTCATGACAATGTGAGCTAGAACTTATTCCAGAAGAGTAAGTGATTAGAAAGTGTTAATGAGAAAATCCTCAGCCAGTTCAGCGATACGATGCCAGTGAAAGTCAGTCCTCTGTCACAGGGCCACTGGAAGCTGGGAGCACTGGAGAAAAGGGTTAGACCTTGGAGAGACTGCTGGCCAGGCTCTCCTTTTAGAGAAACTTGCAATGACTCAGGACAGGGTCATTGCAAAAGCCAAGGAGAAACCTATGAAAGCAGATACTTCCACTGGAAATTGGTCACGGAGCTGTAGTTGTGTGGGTACTACTCATGATAAACTGGTCTTCTTCACAGAAACTGTAAGAACTGTGATGGGTGGAGAATGATCATAGAATCATGGAATGGTTTGGGTTGGAAAGGACCTTAAAGATCATCAAATTCCAACCCCCTTGCCATGGGCAGGGACACCTCCCACTAGCCCAGGTTGCTCAAAGCCTCATCCAGCCTGGCCTTGAACCCCTCCAGGGATGGGGCATCCACAGCTTCTCTGGGCAACCTGGGCCACTGCCTCACCCCCCGCACAGGAAAAACATTTCTTCCTAATATCTCACCTCAATCTCCCCTCTTTCAGCTTAAAACCGTCCCCCCTCATCCTGTCCCTACACTCCCTCATAATGAGCGCTTCCCCATCTCTCCTGTAGCCCCCTTTACTTACTGCAATCCCATTGCATGTTTTCTGTCTCCCAGTCACGTCTCTGCTGGAGATGTATGACACCCCAGGGTGGAGCAGTCGCCTCTGAAGCAACCTGCTCTCTGCTGCTGCCCTCCCCAAAGCCACGTCCTCACTTCATAACCCTGTGTTAAACCTCCTGGCATGTGGCACAGCAGAAGTGAAGCATGAAGAGGTGTCCAAGGGTACAGCAGCAGCTCCTTCACCCAGCACGTGTAGGCATGGCCGAGGAAGCACTGGGTGTGGACAACCCTGAGACCCTGTTCTGGGAAGGTTCCCCGTGTTCTGGACACCCCTCAGTGCCCCTGCCCGTCTCTCCCAGTTACCTCGTGCAAGCTGGAGATGAAACCTGAAGAGAGACTGGAGAGTCCAAAGCGCTTCTCAATGGTGGTGAGGCTGCTCTTGAAGTTGGCGCTGTAGAGGAGCTGGGAGAGCTGGAGAAGCCCGTGGCACAGCACAAACACCTGTGGGCAAGAAAATGTGCCATCCCAGTTACTGCCCTGCTGATATGGAGACCTGGAGGCCATGCCCTGTGCAAGAGATTTGAGAGTCCTACAGACACGGACTTGAGTTGGCCAACACGGCTGCACCTCCGCCACGCAACTGACCTACTGAAGGGCTCAATCCTGAACCCCCAATTAACCTAGCTTTGCAAAATGAGGGATGCGGTGTTCAGGGGGAGGACACAAGGAGTTCTGTTTTTATCTTTTGTCTGCTTTACCATTATTAAAATTAATTATTATTCACACGGTGGCAACCCTTGTGCAACCCTCAAGAGCAAATCTCCGATCCAAGGAGGACCTGTTGCACTGCTGTACCGTGATGAAACGAGACAGGCCTGACTTTGCAAAGACTTGACAGGTGCTCCCGAGACCTTGCTAGGCTGAAAGGGAGCCGTGCTGGTTTTGACTACCTGAGATCCAGTATTTCCAGTCGTCCCTCAGCTGTAAAGCAAATTAACACAACCTGCTCCAAAGGGTGTTGCAAGAAAAAGTTGAAAAAGGACTTTAAAAGCCCCAGAGGGAAAGGATGAAATATGCACGATGTAGTCTCACTACTGGAAGACCTCTGTAGTATTCTAAAAACAGCATCTTTCCTTCGAGCCAGGCTGCGAGCCAAGCCAGAAACCAAGACGAACGGAGGCAGAGCTTGCCTGCAGCAGAGGAGGGAATACAGAGAGTTTACAGGGTAGGGCAGAAGCGTGGCTGAAAGAGCCCGGGTGGCCTGGGAGAGGAAAGCGCTCTCAGCCGGGGATGCAAGAAGGCAGCTCACAAGTGTCTTTTGATCTATATTTAGTCAGAACAGTTTTCCTTTATTTTTCTTGGAATGGAATGCATCCACATGGTGCCAAAAGGATTTTAAAATAATTAAAAAAAAAAAAAGAAGGGAAAAGGTCTTTTTATTTAAATTCACAGGAAATCAAATATTTGCTGAATACCGGAAGCGTGTCCCACAAAGATAACAGCGGGAAGCCCAAGATGATGAATGGGGGATCAAAGGTACTGGAGGGCTGACAAATTCCTTATGTCCTTGGCTAGGAGAGCAGCAATCCTCGTTATTAGTATTTCTTTGGAATGGTGGTAGCGCCCAGAAGCCCTGACCTATTGTGTGGAAAAAAAAAAAAAAAAAAAAAAAAAACAACAAAAAACCCCACACCACCAGAAAAAGAATGAAAAAAGAATGTCCACCCAACACAGAGGATGCAAATGCTGTAGTCGGGTGGAGTGACTTTTTGAGGAGCAGAAGAGGACATAGAGCCCTGGGGATCTACCTAGGGCTGGTCAGGCAAGAGAATTTGGGTAGGAGAAGATGGGCAAGAAGATGGTTTCTTGGGAAGGTTCTCCTGCAAGGGAGGATGGCACCAGCCAGAAGACAGAGCTGGGTATCAAAGCAGAAGAGATGGGAGAGATGCTGACACTGGGAGAGAAGAGGATGGAGATGAAGGGGAAGAAGAATATGGAACCCCAGCAGTGTGAGGGCAGGCTGCGAACAACCTGGAGACCACGGAGAAGTAGGAAAAAGACAAAAAAAGAGGGAAGAAGGGTCACAGGGACAAGGTGCCATCATGAACTCCCCAGCCACGTCTTGGAGGAGTGTCAGCAGACAAACACCAGGTGAGCATCTGCCATGGTGGTAGCCAAGTGGGAGAAGACAAAGTCCCAGGCTGGGACTTTGCCCCAATAAAAAGCTGCAGACCAACGATGTTGTGTGTAACGTGGGAAACCCTCCCAGCCAGCCAAAGTGGAAGTGAAACATCTGAAAGTAAACTCTTGAAGCAGAATGACCTCTACACCCTCTAGCTATCAACTCATCCATCCAAAACCCATCCCAGCACATGGTCCTGCAGATGATTGCTGGATCCACCACCTTCATCTTCTCCAGTCCTGACCTGGGATCACCGTGTAATTACTCCAGCCTGGCTGGTCTGGAGCAGAGGTGACTCCCACAAGGATGAGAAACCGAGAAGGGATCTTGTTGACAGAGAACATTAATTTTTGTTCCTGCAGCTCTGGCCAGACCCTACTGAAGTCATTCGAAGAAGGGAAGCGCTGGCTAAACAGCGGAGGGCTGGGACTGTCTGAGACGCGGAGCAGCTGGAGGGAGAGCTCTCCCGGCGCGAGGCGTTCACTGGCCAAGCCAAGCTGTTTACCAACAGGGAGGGAAGAGGGTGGATCACCGAGGCCGAATTTAGCGCAGCACAAATGTCAGCCTAATCCCGGGGCAGACAGGGAAGATGAGAAGTGCTGGGGAGAGAGAAGATGCTGGTGGGGAGGGAATCATAGAATGGTTAGGGCTGGAAAGGACCTTAGAGCTCATCTAGTTCCAACCCCCCTGCCATGGGAAGGGACGAGGAGGAGGAGAGGGAGCCTGACTCCTCCCCAGGCGTGGTGGGAGGTTCAGGAGTCAGGGATGCTCCCATGAAGATGAAGTGCTGACCCTCTGGAGCAGACACTCCCAGCAGAGCCTCATGGGTTTTTGGAGCTGCAGGCGAGCAGCAATTGCGGGTAGCTGGGGAGCAGCGTGGAGAGGCCAAAGGTACACACACAGACACACAGAGAATTCCCTCTTAACCATCCCCACATTTCCTTCAGAGCACCCGAGCAGTCCTGACTCCAGGCTGTTTATACAAGACACTTGACGGCGTCCCAAGACACCCTTAATTTAAAAGGGAAGCAAACACCTGGGGGACGGTCCCTCGCAGACATGCCGGTTCCCCTGCCGAGTTCAATGCTTTTTCGTAAGGAAGACAAACCCACTCTGTTGCAGGGAACACCTTCTCTGGTTCAAAGCAGAGAGCTGGCAGCTATTTGGTCAATCCCAACCCAAACCTCCTTTGAAGGAGCCGTGTTCAACAAATACATGACCTGGAGGGCTGGTGGGGCTGAGGGCACGAGGATGCGGCAGCAAGGCTGAGATCTTATTCTGGCACCGAGACGCCCACCCATGGGATGCCAGGCATGGCCACAGCGGCCAGTGTGCTGCTGAGAGACGTCCGAGGTGGTGTTTCAGCCCTTGTAGCTGCCTCAGAAGACCCACCTGCACCCTTTTCCACTTCCCTGAAGCTCACAGGGAATAAAATAAAGCTCTGGGAGGAGAGGGGGGATCTCCCAGCCTCATGCTGACCCCATAAAGCCGACAAGAATGAGGAAGGCAGAGACAGGGAGTAAACCCGTCCTTGGGGTGGGTACTCTCGGGGGCAGAGGGACATTGCTGCTCCCGGGGCAGGATGCGTGCGTGGAGAGCAGGCAGCGCTGGGAGGCAGCGGGCGCTGGCACCGCTCCGTGTCACACACTGGGGCCGCTCAGCTGTATTCCCTTATCTCGTGGCGCTTGCTTTCCGTATTGCTTACGTAAGATAATGCACTGTCAACACTGTCCCTGGCCTTAACAACCAGCTACCTACAGGTTCATGGAGACTGGACTTCGGAAATGACTATTGTAAAAGGTGGGCTGGTTTGGAAGAGGATTTTTTTGGGGGGGGCAGGGTAGGGGAGCATCCCTTGATCACCAGGGCAGGCAATAAAACGCTTGGCAAGTTGGGTTAAATAAGAAAAACAAACATGAAGTGCTTGATAACCCCAGCCTGCAGTGTTGGACATGGGTCAGAGCCAAGGCCAGGTAACAAAATTTGGGTTTCTTTTTATTTCAAAGGAGCGGACTGCCTCTATGGAGCCTCCAGGGTCCAGGAGACTCCTCCAGGTGGGAGCCCAGCTCCTCTCTGCAGGGGCTTTGGGAAGATGCTGCTCCATGCCAGCCAGAGGAGTGAATGAAGGGTTAACTCTCTGCTCTGCTTCCACAGCTTCACGCTATGGGAGCGGCTCTCATGTCCAAAGTCATCCATCACCTAATTTTTCAATGTCTGCACCTTGGCAGCCCTGGTTGGAGATAGAGAAGGGGTAGGACACAGCCAAGAGCAATTGCTGCAGGAAGGCACAAAATGAATCCAGCTGGGGTAATTGTTTGGATTGGGTAGGAGTAAGGATGCTCTGTTGGCATTTTCCCTCTGCATCAGAGTTGCATTTTGGGCTGCAGAGGGCCAATGCAAGATTGTTTGAGCTTAGTGGAAAGCGATGGCCCAAAGCAGGAGAGCCCAACCTGCCCACCTCTGAACGCTTTTCCCACTTTACTCACCTGAGTTTCCAAATGGAAAAAAGAAAGGAGAGGGGGGAACTTTTAGGAAGTCATAAGAATGTCCCCAAAATTATAATAGTCAAGGAGAAGACAGGCTGTTTATTGGAGAGCTTGTACAGGATCACCGCTCAGAGATCCTGCGGCAGTAGGGTGGCTGAGATCAGTCAGCCCGAAAGAAATAGATCAGCTGGAAATGAAAAGGATACAGACATGTGGGTGGAAATATGACCCTCCTTAGCACCTCTTTCCTAATGCAACTGCCTAGATTTAGAGATCAAAAAGCACAGTGAAAGCTGGAAAAAAAAAAAAAAAAGCAACATTTCCACAGAAGGAACCAAGTACCCTGTAGCATGGCACGTCACTTAGCACAAAACCTCCGAGCCTGGAGCGTGGTCCAGTGGCAGAAGCTGGCTCCTACATTATATTTCTGCTGAAAAAAACCCCAAACCAAGCCCCTAACAAAAAAAAAAAAAAATTGTCTAGGGATTGTGTGAAGCATGCTGCTGCCCAGCTGATTAGTTGCAGTGATGACCGTCTGCTGCCAAGCAATCCACGCTTTACAACCCCCAATTGTCCAGTACAAAGACAACGTTTGCTCTTTTTGCAATGAATGTACACACGGGATTCCCCTGCGCCGTATCCCCCTGCCTTCGCAAGGTCCGTGCAAGCCCGGCTTTGCTCAGTTGCTGTCGAGGGAGCACTCCAGGGGACATACAACCGTGTCCCTGCCTTGGCGTGTAGGTGCATGTTGCAGATGTCAAAAGAAAGGAGGGGTTGGGCTGCGGGGGATTGCCGAGACCAGACCCTTGGTGTGTGAGGTGCAAGGGTTTGCC